CCTATATTCTCAGTATGTGAAAAATATATCCATTGGCATTTTTGACCCTGGAAATCCCAGAGATTTCCCAGTCACTGGCACTAACCCACCTGGGCCAAGATGCGGCACCATAATCTGCTCTCTTGCAAGGAAATTTACAGTCTTAAACTGAACCACAGTGGAATGGGGAGTTTTGAAAGGAGGAAGCCAAAGGTACAAATTAGAATTTACATCTAAGAGAGTGACATTAGATGAGGAATAATCTGAAAGAGAATCACTTCCTGGGACATAACCTAGGGGTCACACAAAATTAGAGAAAATTAAGTAGGACAGAATAATTGATACCATAGGGTGAGGAGACTGTCACTGGGCCAGACCTCACAATTAGCACAATTGGATGAGAACAATATACTCAGGTGTTTTCATGAGGCAAGAACCAAGCACTGTACATTGCTCAGTGCAACTCTTTTGTTGAAGGTTTTTTTTTTTTTCAGTTTATTCCTAGAGGTGTACAAAGACCCTACTCAAATGAGCTTCTGCAGTTCTAGGCACCCCTTCATAGAGAGGTGAACCTCTTCAGGATGTCCTGCAGCATTCCTATTCCTCATTGCTGTGAAATTGAGCCTCAGGTGTCGCCTTGGATTTTAAATTCTAGTTGAGTGGTATAAACACAGAGAAGTATCTCGAATTTTAACTTAAAGATCTTGCTGATAATTATCCCACCACCAGCCAAATTTTCTTTTGTTTTCAATGGAAGAGAAAATAATGGAGAAATACTTGACAGGAACATAGTCCTGTCAATGCTTACTCTTGAGAAGAAGTGGGTTAGTTGGCTCAGGTCTGTTTTAGAGGCAAAGTAGGGAATTATAGGAAGCAAAAATCTTCAATTTATCCTAAATAGCTTTTAAAATTCAGAACTGCTTTTTTCTTTTTTTCTTAAATTAGATGTATAAATTGTCCTCCTGGCAATTTCTCAAGTTTGGACTGAAGTGTGGGTAGAATGACATAATTATATAAATTGTATTTCACAGTTTTCTTCCTCACATACCTTTATTTAGGCTCTAGTACTTGTCAGTTGAGGAGACAGATATATTCTTTTTGTTTTGTTTTTGTTTTCAATTTATTTGCTTATTTATTTTTGGCTGTGTTGGGTCTTCGTTGCTGCCTGCGGGCTTTCTCTAGTTGTGGTGAGTGGGGGCTACTCTTCGTTGCGGTGCACGGGCTTCTCATTGTGATGGCTTCTCTTGTTGCAGAGCATGGGCTCTAGTACGTGGATTTCAGTAGTTGTGGCATGCAGGCTCAGTGGTTATGGCTCATGGGCTCTATTGCGCAAGCTCAGTACTTATGGCACACGGGCTTAGTTGCTCCACGGCATGTGGGATCTTCCCGGACCAGAGATCGAACCTGTGTCCCCTGCATTGGCAGGCGAATTCTTAAGCACTGTCCACCAGGGAAGTCCAAGACAGATATATTCTAGTATCTCTTCTAGTTCTTCGGACTGGGCTTTATGTTCTCTTGAGAACTTGGATCTAAAGGACTACGGGATTCCTTAGAACAATTTTTAAAAGGCTAGAGTTTCACTTCCAGCATGACAATGTGAGGAGCTCTTCAGACTCACTACCAAAAAAAAATCAGTAATAATTATAAAAGGACAGCCATTTAAAGTCTCTGGACATGGTCCTGGGTGCATACAGCAAATGAAGAAATATTTATTTAATGAAATCTCCTAAAGCTCAGTGAACCCTGAGGTGTTTGATCCAGGACCCACTTCTCTCCTCTCCCCTCCCAGCTCACCATAGTGGAAACTCTACTGCAGACTGGTGCAGCCAAGAGCACAGGGTTCCTCTCCCCACAGATCCCAGGTAGAGGGCTGTCTTCCTAGGCAGGGCAGGATATCAGCATTTCTCATCCTGACTCCAGCTACCTGTTTCTGAAGCTAAGTTCTGTGCAAGTGTGGCCAAAAGGTGGGGGACTCCTTTTTTTTCTACTCAGCCCCAATTCATGGGATGGAAGCTCTGCCTTGGGCATAGAGGCTCTGAGAATACTGGGGCCCTAATTCTCCTTGTCCCAGATCATAAGGTGGTGGTTCCACACTGGGAGAGACAAGTTGAGAAGACCTGAAGCTGAAACCAAGCAGGACCCTGCAGAGCCTTCCTAGGTACAAAAGCCCCTCTGTGTCTCCCATTTCTTGTTTGTAGAAAAAGGCTTTGGTCTCCTAGGCCTTCCCAAAGTTCCAAAGAGCAGGCACAAGTAGTTATTAATTAGGGAAGTGAGGGAATGCAGAAACACAGGAAAAGCAGTCAAGAAATAATATAGTTCAGCAGTAAAACAGAGTCCTAGTTCCTCCTCAAGGGATATATACAACAATCTGACACATATCTTTGGGTTGTTCTGCAGGGACAAAGACTCCCACCCAGGCTGAGGATGGTGACTACACGCTGACCACAAGCATAGAGACCCCATACTGGTCGGAACCAGGTTGGTGAATAAGATTCCTGAAACACCACCCTGTTAACAACCACCAACCAATCAGAAGAAAGTCATACCCACTGCAACCCTCACCCTGAATGTTGCCTTTAAAAACCTTTCCCTGAAAGCTACTGGGGAGTTTGGTTCTTTTGAGCATGAGCTGCCCATTCTCCTTGCTTGGTGCCTACAATAAATGCTGTATTTTCCTTCACCACAACCCAGTGTCAGCAAATTGTCAAGTGGACCCAACTTCAGTTCAGTATCACTTAAATTATCTTCCTTAATAATTTATTTATGCTTTCGTTACTGATTTTTAAGTTGTTATTAGATGGACAGCTCTATCTTTTTTTGTAATAGTTTCCTTGGTGCTGTTATCAGATATGAACACTTGGCTGAATGAAGCATAGCTTAGACCCACTATGGTCTTTTTAAAAAAAGAAATTCTGGTAAAATATATGTGACATAAAATTAATGATTTTTACCCTTTTTGAGTGTACAATTCAGTGGCATTAAATACATTCACCCCGTTGTGTAACCATCCATCTACAGAACTTTTCATGTCAAACTGAAACTCTGTACCCTTTAAATGATAACTCCCCATTCTCCCCTCTTCTGTAGCCCTTGGTAACTAACTAACATTCTATTTTCTATCTCTAAGAATTTGACTACTCTAGATATCTCATATAAGTGAAATCACACAATATTTGTCTTTTTATGTCTTATTTATTCACTTAGCCTGTTGTCAAGGTTCCCCATGTTAGAACATGTAACAGAACTTCATTTTATGGCTGACTAATAATCCATTCCATTACATTCATATACCATATTTTGTTTATCTGTAGGGAAACAAAATTTGCCACCCTAAAATGTCTCTGGCATGTGGATTATTTCAAGCTGAAAACAATCAAGGCCCAGAAGACTCAGGAAGAACTTTTGACCTTCCCCCTAAGTGCCTGAAGGAATTTAGATAGAGGGCCGATTACAGGAATAGAGCTATCACCAGAGATGTCTGCAAAGAACATGAGCTAGATGTGGTGGGGGAAACTCTTAGAGATCACAGGCCACCCTGTGTCCCACTGTCTCTGCAGGCCCAGCAAACATTTACCAAACTTTTACTTTTCCATCTCCATGTCAATTGCCTTCCTCCCTTTGAAGTCCCAGACACTATTTCCAAATCCTCTTCTGTCTTTAGCTGAAGGTGGTATTTAAAGTGAGGGTTTCAGGGACTTCCCTGATGGCTCAGTGGTTGGGAATCCACCTGCCAATGCAGGGGAGACAGGTTCGAGCCCTGGTCCAGGAAGATGCCACGTGCCGCAGAGCAACTAAGCCCGTGCGCCACAACTACTGAACCTGTGTGTCACAACTACTGAGCCCGTGCTCCTAGAGCCCTTGCTCTGCAATGAGAAGCCATTGCAATGAGAAGCCCGCACACCGCAACAAACAGTAGCCCCCGCTCACCACAACTAGAGAAAAGCCCACGCGCAGCAAGGAAGACCCAACGCAGCCATAAATAAATAAACACAATTTAAAAACAAAGTGAGGGTTTCAGTCATTTGGGTGAGTTACTCAGTTTTCCTGGGCCTCTCCCATGTATACATGTTATTTAACTTTTGTTTGACTTTCTCCTGTTAATCTGTCTCATGTCAATTCAATTCTTAAGCCAGTCAGAAGAACCTAGAAGGGTAGAGGGAAATTTCTTCCTCCCCAACGATCCATTCATCTGTTGATGGACATTTGACTTGTTTCCACCTTTTGGATATTATAAATAATGCTGCTATGAACATTGGTGTACAAATATCTGTTCAAATCCCTGCTTTCAATTCTTCTGGGCATATACCTAGAAGTGAAATTGCTGGATCATAAGGTAATTCTGAGTGTAATTGTTTGAGAAGCCACCATACTGTCCTCCACAGTGGTGCATCATTTTTGCATACAGTGATTATTATGTCTTAAGTTACGTGAATCAATCCTTCACTATAGGAAACTGATACTTGGATACACTGAACCAATATGGAGAAATGTGTCTCAGCTAAAATTGTATGATGTATCACAGAGTTGTCTACTAACACTTCTAATAACCATGCTGATTAGCTGCCGGTCTCTATAGCCTTGGGGGGGGGGTGTTGGTGCAGTGGAGCAGAAGGAAGGGTGTTGGAGCAGTCAGAAAAGAAGCAAAAAGAATTCCACATCCTGCAACTCTACTTCAGTTTGGCTTTCTTGACACTGAGTTTTGGAGGGGATGAATAATAAGGGTGGAATGAGAAGGAGAGAAAGGTAGAGGAGTGTGGTAAGGTTAGATGGTAGGACTGGATCCGTCTGCTGTTTCTTAACTACTTGGTGTGAAATTAATTTCAGTGAGACAGTTTTCCTTGTTCCCCCACGTCATCTCAGATATTCTCACAGCCTATTTCCTTTCTAAGCTAGTATAATTTAAAGAGTATGCAGCTGACTTATAGCCTTTGAACAAATTGAACCTATAGGCAAAATACAAATGTACAAGGGCTTAAACATTATGGGAGAGAGAGAGAGGGAGAGACTGAAATACTTTATGAGAGAGGGAGAGACTGAAATACTTTATCATTTTATTCTTCTTTCATCAGACCAGTCGCCTCCTGAAGCCATGGGAAATCACAGTGCTTTGGTACCTGGAGAGAGGTGAATGCAGAGGCATATCTGCAATTTTTATTTCTGGTGGGACTTTCTTCAAGACAACTTTACGATCTTCCCCATGGCAAAGCCTTTCACTGTGATTCAAAAACAGAGAGTCTTCCAAAGGGCCGGCATGGATCCCACATGCTTCTGCATGCTAAAAGAAAAAAAATATGCTGTATATCACACCAAAAATCACCTTATTAGGGACTTCCCTGCTGGCGCAGTGGTTAAGAATCCGCCTGCCAATGCAGGGGACATGGGTTCAATCCCTGGTCCAGGAAGATCCCACATGCAGTGGAACAACTGGACCTGTGCACCACAACTACTGAGCCTGCGCTCTAGAGCCCGTGAGCCACAACTACTGAGCCCGCGTGCCACAACTGCTGAGGCCCGCGCGCTTAGAGCCCGTGCTCCGCAACAAGAGAAGCCACCGCAATGAGAAGCCCGCGCACCACAGCAAAGAGTGGCCCCCATTCGCTTGCTGCAAATGGAGAGGACCCTCGTGCGACGACGAGGACCCAACGCAGAGAAAAATAAATTAATTAATTTAAAAAAACCCCACTTTATTAGATTAAGATGGAATTTGCCCAACAGTTTTTCTAACTGTTCCTGTTGAGAAGGAAGCTCTAGTGGGCAGAGCAATATCCCTTTTTCAAAAGCAGTGCTCTCTCACTGGTGTCTTCCGACCAACAGGAAGAGCCAGTGGTGTGGGCTGCAGACTATAAACTTGGAGTCAGATCACTGACTTTTAGCTTCACTACTTTTGTGTTCTTGTACAAGTCATTTACCTACCGTGAGACTCAGTTTCCTCAAACATAAAATGGGAATTATTAAAGGATTCTTTGAGTGTTGAATAAAACATTCCATGTGAATGAAAAAACTTTCGCCAACTACTAAGTAAAAGAGCCACACAGTATGCAGCTGCTGCTGCACCCTGCTGCTGGGTAGATAACAGCTACTTAAGATTATCTTAGTTGTACGTCTATTTCTGATTCTTTGATACTGCTGAACAGCAGTCTGGCCTGGTCTTGGGGTGCAGCTCCCTCTCTCCTATGCTGTGTTCTTGTTTTTATGTTGTTAAAGAGCTATATCATCAGGAAAAATGGTAAAATGAAAAGAAAGCATAGCTAGCATTTATTCAGTGCACATTCACCTCATTGTAATTCTCATTTAATTTTCACTTTTACTCTGTAAGGTAGAATATTCCATACACCAGTCGCTAATTATATTTTTTAAATTGTTAGGAACACTGTCAACTAAATTGGAGAAGTGAAATAACAATGAAAGAATTATGCTGACTTATAGCTCTAAAGAGTAAGGGCAAGACTAACAGAAATGTTTTGATACATTCAAAACAGTTCTTCATTATTGACTTCAACTCAAAGTTTATACCCTATAGTTCTAGTAAATGAAAAATATAAAGTCAGTACTAATATTGTCACCATGCTAAAGCTACTTAGGACATTGAAAATGACTTGATAAGCCACTAAGTTACATGAAATACAGCCTAATATTAAGATATTAGAAAGTCTTAATAACCATACCAATTTGATGTTTAAGTTTGGTATTTGAACCGTGATTTCCTTAGTTTCATATTTGTTTTCAAAATATCAGATAAAAATACATATAAAATAATCGTCTCAAGGCAAATGGCAGCCTCATTTATTACATTGTATGTACGCATTTTGTAAGAAAATAATTGAGCCATATTTTTATATTTTGTATACCACATAATATTCATATTTTGTAATATCTCTGTCTTCACAAAGTACATTCTTATTCAACATTAATTGCTTATCCTTTAGAAATTTGGAAATTAGTTATATAAACACATTTCTTCCTAGGAATCCTAACATGAAATCTCCTCTTATTGTCTGATTCTTACAAAATATTATAATCTCCTTTAAAGAAACAACTTACCTTTTCACAAGTGAATGGTCAATCAATCTGAATTTGGAAAATGTTTTGAAACTACTGACTACTGAATCAGAGCATTGAGTGGGCAAGGAGTCTTATCTGTAGCTCTAGCCAAACTGTTCCCATAGCTCTCAACCTGAGTGTGCAATACAACTGTAAAAATACACGCTCTGTAAAGAACAGACTTGTGGTTGCCAAGGGGGAGGGTGGATGGGGGAGAGTTGGATTGGGAGTTTGGGGTTAGCAGATACAAACTATTACATATAGAATTGATAAACACGGTCCCACCGTATAGCACAGGGAACTATATTCAATATCCTGTGATAAACCACAATGGAAAAGAATATAAAATATACATATATATATATGTATAACTGAATCACTTTGCTGTACAGCAGAAATTAACACATTGTAAATCAACTATACTTCAATAAAAAAAAAATACATGCTCTGTACTGTAGCTTTAATGTTAATGGCGCCTACTTCTGATGAACTTAACAGCTGTGAGTTGCCATTATGTAGAGAAAAAGGTAGACACATGTTTATGAAATCTTTTGGTTTATCTATTTTAAGTTTGTAATTGGGTTATTTGAATAGATATTGCTATTTAACTTTTGTTTGCAAGTTTATGTGAAGGTGCATCAAATAGTTTTTGTCAGAACAGAATGGTGGTTGTCGGGGCCTGGGAGGAGGAAGAAATGAGACAAAGGGTACAAATTTTCAGTTTTAAGAAGAATAAGTTCTAAGGGTCTAATGTTCAGCATAGTGACTATAGTTAATAATACGGTATTATATACTTGAAAGCTGCTGAGAGTAGACCTGAAGCATTCTCACTGCAAGAAAAAAAGAGTCAACAATGTAAAGTGATGAATGTGTTATCTTGACCTTGGTAATCACTCCACAATGTATAGCAAAGCATCACGTTGTATACTTTAAAGGTACACAATCATATTTGTCTATTATTCCTCAATAAAGCTGAAAAAATGAAAAATAAATTTCAAAGCAGCTTTTGTAGAGTTATATATGTCTATTCACAGATATGTTAAATAGTATAGGTTTTTTATTATAAATACCTATAGGAAAATACCTTCAGATTCACATTCCTGAATTTCATGTTCTGTTTCCAAGGCATTACATAACGTCTTGGGATCATCCCGTGCTTTAATGAAAACCGTGGCAAATGAATCTCACCACACCTGAAGATTAGGAAAAAGCAAGAAGAAAGGATATATTGTGAGTTAAATTCAATTATTTTAGCTTCATTTTACGGAATGGAAGCAGTTGTGTCTGTGAGGTTTGGACCCTCGCAGATGCAGCACAGAGCTGTGTCACTGTTTGAGGCTTACCTAGTAGATAACCAACCCATTAAATCCCCGAGTATCACCAAGATCAAGAGTCTGGGTTGGGTATCTGTAGCTCTAACTGCACACTGTCCTTTACTATTTGCTCATGATGTTCATTTTGGCCTGACTTTATGGGGGAAGACAGCACACCATGACCTACCTCAGGCCTACTCATTACCTAAAGGAATCACTGGCCACTCACAAAAACCAGTAACTAATTTAGCTTCTGAATTTAGTACATGCCCTACACTCAGGTCAGACTTGCTTTCTCTGCACACACACTGTTTTGTTCTGGAACATAAAGCTTTCTATATAGATGCCAAGGGGAAGCACAGAATTAGCATCCTCATCTATGTAGCTCCCAGATTGAAGACAAAGAAACAAAAAACAAACAAAGAAACCACCCCCAAACCCAGAACCCTTAAGTCCTCACTTAATAGCAGGCTTATATGAATTCTCATTAGAGCAGTTGTTGGTGAGTTTAGGTAAGATAGGACAAGTGTCTTTGCCTGAAGCCATCACTGCCAGTAGTGACAGGAATTCTCATCTAGAACTTCACTAGTCTACTAGTCTAATTATGATGTCATTGCTGCCTCAGATCTAACAACGTTTTGCTAATTTCATAGCAACCCATAGCAGTTACTTTAGAAGTTAAGAGTGTGGCACTTAGAGCTATTTTTGGTATTTTTAGTACACCTTGAGTACACCATCATTCTTATCACGAACACTTAAAAAATAAGGATGCTTGCAGATATATTACAAATTTGACAGATACTAGAAAATATATTGGACTAAAGAATTATTATTCACAAATAATCACTTCAAATTAACACTATTTACCCTTAGCTGATTTTCCTCTTTACATACTGCACGTGGTTGATATGTGTCCCATTTGTTTCACCATTACTTAGACACACTTCAAGGTGTAAATCAAACTTGCCTAAACCCAAACCAATCCAACCCATTTTATCTCCTAAGATTTGAGTTATATCGCAGAGTATTTTAGGTAACAAAACTCATTTTAATAAAGAAAGGTTGTGAGTGAGGATGAGCACCTAAATTACTAGGCCAGAGACATGGAGGGTTATTACTGCTAATACTCCTAGCCAGGAGGAAAAATGTTAGGCTGAGCAGGAAGAATGACTGCGATGTACACTGCCTTGGTGAGAGTATTAACTGAATACATATCTGGCAACAGTCTGGAGAGAACTTTCTAGATCTGGATAGTCAGAAAAGTTTAGAGAAGAGTAATGTTAATACACAAAACTTTACAGAACCTTAAAAACTGAAGCACTGGTTTCTATATATAACATTAGGATGTACTACAATCCAGAAATCTGGTTTGCAAATGTTAAGGAAATAACAATGATGAAAACAATCCGGGAAGGGGGGAATGAGGGAGGAGCAATCCACTGAAGATGAAGTAGCCTGAGGCATTAATGTCCCTCAAATACTGTAACTTTCACTAGAAAAATTAGCAGTATTTACATGAGTAAGTGGCATTTAGATTTCTGAATGTTGATTATCTTTCCTGATATACTATACCTTTTTTTTTTTTTTTTTTTTTTTTTTGCGGTACGTGGGCCTCTCACTGTTGTGGCCTCTCCTGCTGCGGAGCACAGGCTCTGGACGCGCAGGCTCAGCGGCCATGGTTCACGGGGCCAGCTGCTCTGCGGCATGGGCATGTGGGATCTTCCCGGACCGGGGAACGAACCCACGTCCCCTGAATCGGCAGGCAGACTCCCAACCACTGGGCCATCAGGGAAGCCCTACTATACCTTTAAAATCACCTTACATAAAATAATCTCAGGGACTGTGGTGATCATTTTACAAGGCATAAAAATACTGAATCACTATGTTGTATACCTGAAGCTAATGTAATATTGTAAATCAATTATACTTCAATTTAAAAAGAATCTTTAAATAAATAAATAAATGGTTAAAAAATCTCAGGGATAATGTTTAAATACTTACCTATTTAAAATGTTTCTTTCCTAGGTTATAGCAATTTTATGAAAGAACATTTGAGATTAAAAAATAAAATCACTTGAAACTCATTAAGGACTGCCAGAACTCCTTTTATTTTTGCATTCTTTATGAAAAAAACGTAACCAATTACCATTTCCTTTTCTTTCCCTGCTTACTTAGCTCCAACTTCAATGATCACGTATTTCAGAAACTACTGAAAGACTTCAAGTACACTGCTGCAAAGAATAGCTAATAATTGCTCCCTACATATTTTTGCTTAATCTATTTTGTAAACTGTAGTCAACTCCTGGAACATCTTAAGTAAACTACCTTTATTTCCTTAAATAAAAATGAATAATTTTAAACATCATGCAGATGAAACATTTTTAATACCTAACTTCCTTAACATAAGGTAAAACAGTCTTAGGCAGGCTGTCACTGGGAATTTTTTAAATGTCATGGTAATTATGCAGGTATGGATCATATTCAGTATTTAACATATGACCAAGGTAACTAATAAGAGGTCAAAAACAAAGTTAAAGTTAAGCACAGATACTTCTTTGAAAAGCTTCTGATGTTTATTTACTTCTGCACAAACAACTTAAGTGGGAAGAGCCACTAGTATAAACCTATTTTTAGTCTCTATTATTAAAACTGCTTAAGAGTTCTTAGAACACAGAAAAACTAAATTTGAATGCATTTGTAATAGCTTAACAATTTGTCTTAGGATCTTTTAATGGAATGTTTGAAACCAATCATAATTCACTGCAAAGATAAATCAGAAAAAGAAAACAAACTTTTGAATGGCATGTTATAATGACCTGGACAAAACTGATTATCAACTAGTAATGATTAGCACATGCAAAAGACTGAGAAATTAAATCCTCTGCTATATACTTCTGTCAGACATGAGAAAGTTTTAAATGTTCTTATTGCATTCATCTCCCACATATTCAATTTTATTTAAAACAAGACAACAGTTCTCTCCAGATTTTTGGGTTTATCAGTGCAAAGTAAAATAAAGCAATCTCAGTAGAAATGGTTTATTACAATGTTATCTTAGAAAGGCTTATTTCTCAAAATGTCCTAAAAGATGTCCAAATCATGAGAATGATCAACCTCAATGGCTTCCTCTGCATCCAACTTTGTTTCTCCGTGTCCTTCCTGTGATTCATCAAGAGAGGCCAGGGCCTCATTTGTGTCACTTGCAAAAGTCTCTCGTGATGTATCGTCATCTTCTAGAAAATTTAGGCTTTTAATAGCTTGTTTCATCTTTTTTCCCAACACTTGTGTTCTTCTCTTCCTAGCAGCTTTTTTATTTTCATATTCCTTTTGATTTTCAATGTAGAAAATGTCCTACAATAAAGGAACAACTTTAGTAAACAAGAACTACCATTTATTGAAAGCCTGTTATAAGGCAGACTCTTTATATTATCTCCATTTTCCACACACAAAAAATATTAGATTCATAATTGAACACAGAGTCCAAGATATTTAATAAATCCTCATTGCAAGTTGAGAGGATGAAGCTATGATTCAAACCCAGCCTAGTGTTAGGTCTAGGGTCCATGCTTATTATACCATATACATCAATCTATAAAGGTTTTCTAAATAGAAATATACAGTAGAAAAATCATATTGTTTAGGATTTAAATAAAATATATTTTATCACAACAAAGCAAAGTCTTTGGTATAATAATTTACTAACTCTGAAATGTCATCATAACCACATGTTATATGCTAAGAAACTGGCCAGGCCCGAACTGTGTGACTAAATATGATCATGTAACCTACACAACGCAAGAAAAATTCCAGCCCTTAAACACTGCTGTAATTAACATGTGAGACTGTAAATCTCTGCCAAAAACTTTTATCACAAGGCATAAAAATGATATAGTCAGCACTTGGATTCCAGGGTGCCAGAAAAAGGATTTTATAGTATGAAAATATGAGAATCTTCTAGTACAGGGTTTTTCAAGTATGGCACTACTAAAACCGCAAACCAAGGAATTCTTTGTGTAGCAGTCTGCTGTGTGCATTGCAGGATGTTCAGCAGCCTACCTGGCCTCTACCCACTAGCACACCCACCCCACCGCCAAACGGTGACAACCAAAAATACCCCTAGACATTGCCAAATATCCTCTGAGAGGCAAAACTGCCAGTGAATGAGAATGGTTCAAGTAGAAAATACATTTCCATTAAAACACTACATGGAAAAACAAAATAACTTCTGGGAACCTTGATACAGATAGATAAATATAATTTTAGAGGGTACAAAAAAAAAAAAGGTCAGGGATCTAAAGAGAAGGCAAAAATGATGATGCTAATACAAAAAAGATTCAAAGATTTAAAAGAGAAGCTAGTAGGACACACTTTTGACATCCTATTATATTCTAGGAAGTGACTCTTAAAAGCTGTAGCCAAGGGCTTCCCTGGTAGCGCAGTGGTTGAGAGTCCGCCTGCCGATGCAGGGGACACGGGTTCGTGCCCTGGTCCGGGAAGATCCCACATGCCGCGGAGTGGCTGGGCCCGTGAGCCATGGCCGCTGAGCCTACGCATCCGGAGCCTGCGCATCCAGAGCCTGTGCTCCGCAACAGAAGAGGCCACAACAGTGAGAGGCCCGCGTACCGTAAAAAAAAGCTGTAGCCAAGTCAGTTCCTATTACATTCTTAAAGTGCATAAAGTGCAAATCCCTTCTTGTTTATAAAAAACAATATGGAGGATGGTGAGATAAAGGGGGCCCTCTGCTTCGCTAAATAGTAAAAGCAGCACACGGAATTAGCAGAGGAAGGAGTAAGGAACCCCGAAATGAATGCAATAAGGGAAAGCTTCAGAATATGAGAGCTTTGATGAAGAGAAGGAATGAAAGTATTTGCTAAAGAAATGAGGATGGGGGTGGAGAAGGAGGGTACATATGTGAGAAAAAAGCACAGGAAGGACAAAAAGGGTGAATTCAGAGGAAAATGAGGCCAGCTACCAATTCCTGAATGAGCACTTTTATGTGCCAGGCATTACGTTGAGAACTTTACACAGGTGTGAACTCTTTTCATTCACACAAGAACCTTATGAGGTGGGGATTATACTTGTTTTCAGATGAGGAAAGTGAGGCTCAAGATTAGAGCCAACAGGTAAAGGTATAAAGTCTAAACTCATAAATGATTTCTTCAAATCCATATTCTTAAACCTTAAACCTTTGCAAGAGTGTGATAATTCACAATTTTTTCAAGAGTCTACTTACCTTCAAGTGGAGCAATAGTAGAAGTATTTTCATTTTATATGGAAGCACATCCAAACATCTTGATAAAAACAATTCTAACTAGTACAATGCTTGGCAACACTAAATAAAACTATGAAGTTCCCCTTTCCCTCCAAATATGGCAATCCTTATTAAAAAGGAATGTTATTCTCATGGGTTACGAATTTAAACAGAACTGGGATGACCCAAAGAAATGTCTTTGTAGCATATTATTAATGTTGTTACAACAAATGCAGACAACAGATAATCTGAGAGCAACTTTTTTCTCCCATCCATCTCTTTGTATAATTAACTCTGCAAGTTAAGAACCTGAAGTGCATACTATTTTCGGAGGGAGTACGTTATAGATGGACTTAACTTTTTTTTTTTTTCTTTTAAACATAGTCAATTTTATTCTCCTTAAACCACAAAATAGAGTCTTTGGTTGTAAAAACACCACTAGCTACAGTCTTGCCAGGAGGTCCTGGCTGGGGAGCGGGCAGTAAGCTGGCAGCCAGAACTCCTGAGGGGGGGGACCTCTTTAAAATGCTGACAGCCAGGTGGCGGGGCCCCCACACCAAGTCGGGGGAAGCACCCCGACCCTCTAGGAGGGCACCGGGCCAGGCGCTGGCGCCGCAGCCGCACGGCGCAGCGGCTGCTGCACAGCACCACCTCCTCAGGGTCCGCGGCGCCGGCAGAGGGCCTGCCCAGAAGCACCACGGCCACCTCTCCATCCTCCTCCAGAAGACTGGGGCTCAGAGATGGCTCTGAGGACCTCAGCTCCTCAGCAAAATCTGGGGACAAGCGTCCCGGAGAGGTGCTGGTCTGGGGGCCGAGGTCTTCCCAGGGGGTCGGTGATGGGGTGGGCGTGGGCGAAGGGGCCTTGGCCAGGCACCCCGGGGGTCCCCGCTTCACAAATTAACTTCTAACTATTCTTACTTTTTCTTTCTTCACAAACTTTGTATTGTCTAAAACAAATTATAAGGCCATATACCGAAACAAAATCAAATGAGAAAAAGTTGAAAACAAGCCCACTCAGTTCAGTTTTGGCTTCCAAGTTCTACAGACTGTGATTGTTAGCAATATAGTGACTAAAAGAATAATTATAACACCATTATTTGGATGGCACATGAAATTACCTATAATAAAATGATATCTGCCTTAGGCTTTTCCCTCTAGTAACAAAGATAGTCAATCCACACACATACAGAAAATTTGGTAAAAAAAAAAACCAGAAAAATCTTAAAAGACAAAACATTTATAATCCCTTACAACAGACCAAATCATTGGTAACATTTTGGTGCTTTAACTGCCAGTCTATTGTCCCATGCCTCTTTTTCCCTATAAATTTGTACTTTGTCGTTTTAAAAAATTCAGTTATTATTGCATTTTCTAATTTTCTTAAAATTGCTTCACAAAAATAGAGGCTACAGGATAGTTGTTTTAAGAATGTCCCTATTAGTCAACATTCCCCTATTATTAGATACTACAAACGTTTCTGTTTATTATAATGCCATGTTTCTGGTTGTTCAAGATAAAAATCTACTAACATTAAATCTCCTTCTCCACAATGAGTTAGAAGAAATGAATTTCAAAGATAGGTGATTCAGGTCTTCCCTGGTGGCGCCGTGGTTGAGGGTCTGCCTGCTGATGCAGGGGACACGGGTTCGTGCCCAGTCCAGGAGGATCCTATGTGCCGCAGAGCGGCTGGGCCCGTGAGCCACGGCCGCTAAGCCTGCGCGTCCGGAGCCTGTGCTCCGCAACGGGAGAGGCCACAGCAGTGAGAGGCCCGCGTACCGCACAAAAAAAAAAAAAAAAAAAAGATAGGTGATTCAGTGAAAACAGCATGGGTTTGAAGTCAGAGTCCTTCCTGTGTGATCTCAGACCTATCCTTTTTATTGCTCTGCATTTGCATATCAGGGTAATACCCAATGATAGACAGTGCCAGGCTGATGGTGAATAAATGTTATTTTCTTCTCTCCCGCTTCTGGAAATTGTCCAAGTTTAGTTGACAAACAGCTTTTCTAGACATCATTTTATTTAACTCCTTTATAGCAATATTAAATAGGCAGGGCACATATTAAAGTCCTCACTTTATAGATGAGAAAATCAAGGCTGAGGGGGAGTAAGCAATCTGCTCATAGTCATATAATCACTAAATGGCAAAATTAAGATTAAAACTTAGATTTTGAATCTTAGAGAATTCTTTTCATCACATCATGCAATATCTTTGAAAAGACTCACACTTTGCTATCTAACAAAGACCCAAGAAGAATGTTCCTTCTAAGGACACACTCTGATCAGGGGTTATATTGGGGGAGGAGGGAGAACATCATTAAGGTATAAGTTCTGTTCTACCACTCAAAAGTTGTGTTCCCAAGGAAATGCACATTGTTATAAATTTATTATCAAAATAATTGTTCCAATGAGGAAAAAAAGTAGTTACAGAGTAGAGATTTCAAACGTGCAACAACAGTAACATTTCCTGTAGGAATTTCAGTAACAGATTTTGAAAAAAATGACTAAAAGTGAATAGCCAGAAAAAAGAAAAAAAACATTGAGCAGATGCAAAATATGCTCACATGTAGCATCAGCTCAAGAGAAGAGGTTTTTATTTCTGCCATCATCAGCATTACATTAGTACGGCCAAAGCACATTCCTATGACCTTTATCACCCACTGTTATAATAAAGAGAATACAAAATTTCTCAAATATTGTAGCTGTGTTGCACATGTGTACCATCTCCTTCCTATGCAAGAAGACAGTTCTCAATTTTGATCGCATGTGCTAAATGCGAGTCATGTTCCTTAATTAATAAATTAAAAGGTAACTGAATTCTGAGGTGTGAAAAACCCACAGTGTATAAGATTTCCCATATGACATTCTGGTAATACAAAAATGATACTAAAATGCCTGGCTTCCAGTTTGTGAGGAATGAACAAAACAAATGTGTGAGCAGACAACAGAATGTGGTATATTCTATAAGAGAGCCATAATGGACTCATCAAAAGGTCTAAATCATGGAGAAAAATGTAGGATTAAACAAATCAAAAGAGATATAACAAATGGGATGTGGAAATCTAGATAGGATCCTGATTTGGGGAGGAAAAAAGCTAGAAAATACATTCTTGGGACAATTCAGGAAATTGGAATAAGGGCTAGATAGATACTGGGATGATGCTATGAAACTGTTCTTATTTTTCTTAGGTGTGGCTGTGTAGGATATTGGGAGATGCTTGTTGAAGTAATTAGGGCTGAATGTCATGATGTTTGCTCCTTATTTCCCAATGGTACAGAAAAAAAATTGTATAGGTAAAGTAAGAATGTCAAAATGTTAACCACCCCTGAACCTAGGTGAAGGATATATGGGTATTCATCCTGTTGTTTTTTCATCTATTCCACGTTTGAAATTTTTCATTAATAAAAAGTTGTAGGGGTAGAAAAAAATAATTACATGCTAAGAGGCCAGGAAAAATTGCCATAAAAGAAATCTTGACCTTAGCTCTGAAAGGGAAGAAAATGAGGAGGCAGAGCTTTACCAAAGGCACAAGGTTTACTTGAAAAGAGACAATGAAAAATTGGTCAGTACAAGGCAGAGCAGGTAATAGAGATCAGTAGAAAATGAAGCTAGAGGCTGAGTGGGAGTTAAATTATGATGGATCTCAAAAGTCAAGGACATTATTGTTTCTACCTTAATTTGTTCCTCACTGATACTAGGAGTGTTCTTCAGGAGATTCAGGAAAACTCCACCTGGTGTTCTTCTTCGACTACCATTCTACAAAAAGGAACAGAAAAATGATCCTGTGAAGACTCTTCCAGTGAATGGTCAAAGCAATTTTTAGAGACATTCCTAAGGAGATATTAAGGTCTACAGTACCACTCCAGTTTAACTGCAGTGTCCTTCTCTCCTCTCCAGACTTCCATTTGCTCTATTTCTTTTCCCATGGCATGTATCACTTCTTGGCATACTTGAAGATACTACATTTATTCTTTACAGACTGTTTCCCTCCCACCCCCTACTACAACATAAGCTTCCTGTGTCTAGAACAGTGCCTGGCACACAGCAATAAAGAACTGTACAAGGAAAGAATGCATGCACCAAAAGAAAGTGAATTTGGACTTGCATCTCCCCAACATTCAGTAGATTTCCATTAGCTCACTGGTTTTATTACTACTGTATTATTACTACAGTGTTAAAATTTTGATATAGGGAATTCCCTGGCAGTCCAGTGGTTAGGACTTGGTGGTTTCACTGCAGGGGGCCTGGATTTGATCCCTGGTTGGCGAACTAGTATTCCACAAACTGTGTGGCACAGCAAGAAATTTAAAAAAAAATTTTTTTAAAGTAAAATATTGATATAATCTATAACTTCGTGCTCAACTGAATGAAAATCTAGGTACCTTAAACAGTGACACAAACAGGGATGCCAGTACATTCATGATTATTATAATTTGTTTTGTTGTTAACTTCTGGAACCTATGTTCACAGGCTGTTTCCTCACCCAGTGCTATCACTTCTAACGGGTTTCTTTTCTCTCCATTTCCACAGCATAATATTTAGTCTCTTGTGATGTTATTATTCAAATTCATGAGGAACAAATAAGAAGGAAGCCATTCAATCTTCATCCTCACCCTGTGCTGAAAGCTCAATTAAATGAGATCTGCAAAACCATTCATTCTATGGGATAAACTGCTACTGCTTGTGATCTGGCCCCAACCAGAGAAGTGCTCTTTATGCCATTCTGGAGCAACGAAGTATTTTTTAACTGTTTTTTCATTTTTGCTTCCTCAACCCCAGAAGCCTCTTTAGACATTTTGTTTCCTATTCACTCCTACCACCCATGAGATTTTAATACTCACAGATATACTTTATATTTATCTGTGCTTTTTACATAACAAGATTTTTGGGTGTTTTACCCCCAAGAACCAGTTTCCAAGAATGCATGAATTGGGCTTCACTGGTGGCGCAGTGGTTGAGAATCTGCCTGCCAATGCAGGGGACATGGGTTCGAGCCCTGGTCTGGGAAGATCCCCCATGCCGCGGAGCAACTAGGCCCGTGAGCCACAATTACTGAGCCTGCGCGTCTGGAGCCTGTGCTCTGCAACAAGAGAGGCCGCGACAGTGAGAGGCCCGCGCACTGCAAAGAAGAGGGGCCCCCACTTGCTTCAACTAGAGAAAGCCCTCACACAGAAACGAAGACCCAACACAGCCATAAATTAAAAAAAAAAAAAAAATGCATGATTTAAATGAGCCAAAAGTAACATTTCTTTCTCTCTCTTTTTTTTTTAATGAATTTATTTATTTATTTATGGCTGCATTGGGTCTTCGTTGCTGTGTGCGGGCTTTCTGTAGTTGTGGCGAGCGGGGGCTACTCTTTGTGGTGGTGCACAGGCTTCTCATTGTGGTGGTGCGCAGGCTTCTCATTGTGGTGGCTTCTCTTGTTGCAGAGCACGGGCTCTAGGGCACGTGGACTTTAGTAGTTGTGGCGCATGGGCTTAGTTGCTCTGCAGCATGTGGGATCTTCCCGGACCAGGGCTCGAACCCGTGTCCCCTGCATTACCAGGCAGATTCTTAACCACTGAGCCACCAGGGAAGCCCCAAAAGTAACATTTCTGCTCACCACCACTAACTAAATTCTGGGCACTGTGGTAAGTACTTTATATGCATTATCTCATTTAATCCTTATAATAGAGGATTAATCCCATTTTATAGCTGAGGCTGAGGTCTGAGAAGTATCGATAATTTAGCCAAATGTCACATCTAGTAAGCTGCACACCCAAAATTCAAAACCAGGTACCCCAAATTCCAAAACCCATATTCTCAAAATCTGAGCTTCCAGTTCCCCCCTCCAGACCTTTTTCTTAAAATTTCAGCCTTAATGAATCCTATAAGAGATCTGTTGTTGACTGCACACTAACAGGCTACAATTTAGGTATATTTTTTATAAGTAAAGTATTAATTGCAAAAACTGACCATACTGAATTTTTAAATTTTTTTTTATACATTTATTTGTTTTTTATTTGTTTTTTATTTATTTTTATTTTTGGCTGTGTTGGGTCTTTGCTGCTGTGTGCGGGCTTTCTCTAGTTGCAGCGAGCGGGGGCTACTCTCTGCTGTGGTGCGCAGGCTTCTCATTGTGGTGGCTTCTCTTGCTGCGGAGCACAGGCTCTAGGCACGCAGGCTTCAGTAGTTGTGGCGCACAGCCTTAGTTGCTCTGCAGCATGTGAGATCTTCCCCGACCAGGGCTCGAACCCTTGCCCCCTGCATTGGCAGGTGGATTCTTAACCACTGCGCCACCAGGGAAGCCCTGAATTTTTAAATTATTAATGAAGGTTTTTTAAAGTCTGAAACACACTGTAATAATTTATAAATAAGAGAACCAACAATCAGAGACAAGGGCATTTTATTAAAAAATCACATGAAATAATACAAAAGCAGAAAGAATGAAGCAGTTAGTCTTACCATTATAAAAAGGCCACCATTTTGTTCAACTTCAGCAGTTTCCATCAGAAGTTCAATTGCCTTTTTGTTCCCAATTATCCTCACTACTCGGGCTATCAAATCTTTCTTTGGTTCCTGCAACCTGATGAGGAACAAATGAAGTAATATTAAACTTTTTATTTGTTGCAAAAAGTTGAGGAAACCTACCTTAGTCTCCAATTTAGTTCCTAGCTAGAATTAACTTCTTATTCTAATAACATTTGCTTTCCAAAATCCCCAATATTTAACCTTGGAATCACTGACATGGAAACATTCCTATCTTGGGTCACCCAAGGAGATCATAACCTCCAGGATCCACCTCAAGTCTCATAACTGGCATCTTCACTTTGCCTTATTGGATTATGGCATATTTCAAAAGAAACATGCACACATAGCAAGGGGAATGCAAGCCTAAAAGCAAAAGAAGATACAACCAGTCTACTCTCATCAAAACAAATAGCAAACATATACCATGCTTTCTAAAAGTTAGCTCTCCTAACTCTAGAGATGTCTAAAAGCTTTAAAATGGATTGGATTTTTCCCTCATGGGCTCCCTGCCTCAGAACAAGGAAATAGCTAATATTTACCAAAGGCTTATTATGGGATAAGCACAATCCTAAGAACTATACATGCATTATATCTCAGTTAATTCTCTCAACAACCTTATGAAGCAGATATTATTATTTTCATTTTACCACTGAGAGGTAAAAACACAGGGAGCCTAAGTAGGTAGCACTTCTGACATCAGAGCCCATACTCCATAGAGATGAAGGAGCATTAATATTACAGAAGTCTTACCAGTTCCCTAACCAGCCCTGGCTTCTTGTGTTTCTTCTCTGTTGTGGAAAGAGCAGTAGACTAGGAACAAAGGGGTTAGACTTTAGTTCCAGGTCTGACACTTATTAAATTTGTGACTTTGAGCAAGCCACACAACTACTGGGCCTCAGTTTCCTATTTGTAAAGTAAAGGCTTTGGTTTACAAAATCTCTAAGTTCCTTTCCAGAACTCAAATTCCAAACTCCCTCAGTATTTAAAAAAAATCCAGTATGAGTATTGACAGGCTTGCCTGGAAAGTAAACACTTGTTTTCCTACTAGCTATATTACTCTTGAACCTTACCTGTTTTCAGATTTGTGACACTGTTCACTAGTGATTTAGAGCTAATAAAAAAGTAAACAAAATTTCAACTTTTTATTTATTTATTGACCTCCCTGGGCGGCTTGCAGGATCTTAGTTCGCCGACCAGGGATCAAACCCGGGCCTATGGCAATGAAAGTGCCAAGTCCTAACCACTGTACTGCCAGGGAATTCCCAAAATTTTAACTTTTAGTATTTCTTGTTAAAAATACATGAAATGGGCTTCCCTGGTGGCACAGTGGTTGAGAGTCCGTCTACCGATGCAGGGGACACGGGTTTGTGCCCCGGTCCAGGAAAATCCCATGTGCCGCGGAGCAGCTGGGCCCGTGAGCCATGGCCGCTGAGCCTGCGCGTCCGGAGCCTGTGCTCTGCAGCGGGAGAGGCCACAGCAGTGAGAGGCCCGTGTACCGCCAAAAATAAATAAATAAATAAAAAATACATGAAATGTAAATTTACTGTACATCAAGCAACTCTACTCCTATTTATTCAAAAGAAATGAAAATCTGTGTCCAAAGATGTGTACGTGAAAGTTCATAACAGCATTATTCATAATTTCCCAAAAGGGTAACAGCCGATATGGATGTGTGCGTGCATATGCGTGTGCGTGTAAATAAACAAACTGTTGATTCCTGCTACAACATGGACGAATCTGAAAAACACTGCAGTAAGTGAAAATAGCCAGGCACAAGAGACCCCATACTGTGATTCCATTAACATGAAATTTCCAAAAATGCAAATTGATAGCAACAGAAAGTAGATTAGCAGTTACGTGGGAATAGGAACAGGAACTAACTTTAAATGGGCACATGGTATGAGGGATCTTATAGGGTGATGGCAATGTTTTAAAAGTGCTTTATGGTAATCGTACAACTGATAAACTTACTAAAAAAATCAACACTTGAAATGGATGAATTTTACCACATGTATACCATGCCTCAATAAAATTGTAAAAAAAAAAAAATCATGAATGCTTGAAAGCACTCCAAAAAACCTACATGATTTAAAAGGATATGTTTTTACCTAAAGAGTTCTATAGCACTAAATGGAAAGAGTTGCTCAAAAGTTCACAAAAATCTGCAAAATTATTCTATCAGGTCTGCCCAAATTTAAGAACACCCAGCTATATTCATATAACCACATAAGCCTAGAGTTCATGCCTTGAATTTAAAAATTTCAAAAAGGAACACCATTGTCAGTGTATTTGGAATCTGTGTTATTTCTCATAAATGGAAGACAATTGGTCAAGTGCTCACTTGTAGACAAATTTAAATACTCACCTAAAAGAAATTTCATCAGCCACTTTCTCTTGAGAATCGTCCTCTGTGATCTCGTATCGGCCTTTATAGTTCATTTCTAGTCTGTCTCCTAGTCTGTCTTTGACAGGTCGTTTCCTTTTGAGATGGCCTTGCCCATTTTCCTCCTCCTTTGATCCCGTTTTTTTGCCACCATGCATATATTCATCTAGCTCTTTGTCTAATTCTTTTGTATGCTCTTGGGATTCCCTCTTAAGTTTCTTAGCAAGCAAATAATTGTACGTCTCGGATTCTCTGCTTCTGTCAATAGTGCCCTCCATTCCCAAGATACCAAGTTCAGTGGCCACTGCATCTTGATTCTGTTCCTGCAGCACAGCACCCCATATGTTGTTAACCTTCTTCCCTCCAGCAATAGGCGGTTTCTGGCTGCTCTGGCCAAACTGAAAAGGCTCTGGTTTGGGAGGAGTGTTAAAACATTTTTGTCGTTTGCGCTTCCAGAGAGAGCTATCATCATCTGAATCCGAAAAACTCTCCTCACTTGAATCCACACTTTTAACAGTCCGATAATGTGATACTGGAGCACACACTGTTGCAGTACTCTGGAAGGGCCTCACTGCACAGTCCCCACCTAGTGCTTTCTGCAAGTGAAAGAAAATACAATCAATTCCATAAAACACATTAACTCCACACATCATGTGCTTTTTTTTTTTGCTGTACGTGGGCCTCTCACTGTTGTGGCCTCTCTCGTTGCGGAGCACAGGCTCCGGACGCGCAGGCTCAGCAGCCATGGCTGACGGGCCTAGCCGCTCCGCGGCACGTGGGATCTTCCCGAACCGGGGCACGAACCCGTGTCCCCTGCATCGACAGGCGGACTCTCAACCACTGCGCCACCAGGGAAGCCCCACCATGTGCTTTTTAAAAAATTATTTAGGGATTCAGCTGGACCATTTTGAAGGAGAAATGATCTTCAAAGATCTCTGAAACCAACTGAGGCCCTGCATTTCTAAAGGTCTACATGGAATTTCCTTTTTTTTTGCCTGCGCCTTGCGTCTTACAGGATCCCTGTTCCCTGACCAGGGATCAAACCCGGGCGGGCAGTGAAAGCGCCAAATTCTAACCACTAGACCACCAGGGAACTCCCTGGAATTTCCATTTTAAAAGCCACAAATTCATATTTCTATATAGCTAATACAGCACTTAGTTCTAAGACCCCTTTTAAAAAATTTCCAAAGCTTTTAATTCTCACCTTTAGAAGATTTTCAATCTTTTAAGTTATTGTCAGAATGTTTGAAAATGACATACACGATGTTACTAGCAGTTAAAACAGAACTTGTCTTCTTCCTTTCCAAAGATGCCTGCCATGCATTTGATTACATCAACTGCCTTTATATGGTTTTGTGACTATGTTCCTTTTAGACTAGACAGTAAACTCCTATGTGTAAGAATCTCCGACAAATTACTTTTAAAACTGCAGAGTCCATGGCATTAAGTTTACCAAGTCATGGGTCAATCTATGTAAAACAAACTGAAAGAGACTGAAAAACAAAATATTTTGGTACCGATTTCCTAAGAAATTTCTATGCAAAAGGAATCACCTTTGCTTTTTCAACTAAACATTAAACAAAGTATTTGTTAAGTTCCTAATATGTGCTAGAAATGGGGGTGGGGTATTTTAAGTCTAGAAAGTAAGTCTTCCTATTTTGAAATAATAATGGCACTAACACTTGTCAGCCATTACTCAGGCTCCACTGAATCCTGACAGTCACCCTATTACTGTCGTACTATTATCATTCCTATTCTAAGATGGGGACACCAGGCTAAATGACCTGTCAGAGGTCACACAGTGGCGGCGCCAGGATTCGAACGCGCGTAGACTGGCACTAAAGCCTTCTCAAAAGAGCTTGCTACTCAGTAGGGCGGCCAAGACAAACGCCTACTTAGAAAACTGGGAAGCTAACACAAAACCCAGTGCCACATTATGGCATGACGAAGCTAGGTTCCAGGGGAATATGGAAGACCAGGCCTCTGAGCAAGTGATGAACTTCATCCCTGGTCCTCACTCCCTTTCTGCTCAGCGTGCACATGAGCGCCACAGGCTGTTTGCGGGCAGAGGTCCCCAGGTTCTACATTTTCGGCAAAAAAATGCCCTTCCGAGACAACCTAGCGGCGCCGAAGTGGGGAAGCCCGTAGGTTTAGAAAACGAGGAGCGGGGCACTGGAGGCGGGGAAGAGGCAGCCGCAAGCCCGACTCCGGGAGACAGCCCGCCTCGCGGAATCCGCTTCGCAGCGAGACGCCGGGCTAGGTTCGTACGGCCTCCTATCCCCGCAACCTCCCTCGCTCCGCGCGCCGGGCCGCGGGCCGCCCGCCCGCCCCTCACCCTCCCCGCCGCACCGGCTCGCGCGCCGGGCCCGGGGACGACCACCCCTCATCGCAGCCTGGGCTCCGCGCTCCGCGCTCCCGGCCCAGAGTCACCCGCCCCCCTCTCCGCACTCACCGGCACCTGCAGCGGCCTGTCGCTGGGTGCTACCGTCATGTCGGAATCCGAGTCAGAAAGCTGCCCATCTTCCATGTCGCCTGCCTCCTGCGCCATCTTCCCGCGGCGCGGTGCAGCGGGCCGAGAGGGCACTTCCGGCGGGGCGGCGGGCTGGTCCGGCTGGCTCTGACTGGTCGGGCGCCCCCGCGAGGGGGCTGCTCCCGCCCCGGCGGCCGGTGGACCCAGACGCCTGGGTCGAGGCTCGCAGATGTTGCGTCACCATTGCAACCCGCTCGCTTAACGCTATTCTGGGAGAGTGAGTCCTCTGCTCCTGCAGCAATCTGGCGCGTTCCCTACCGACCTGTTTCCGGCAAACCTAAAGATGCGCATGGATGGCAGCCATGAGGGATTTCTCCCTCGGCCTCACAACCCTCGCCTGGATGCTGTGGGCAGGCCTTCGTGCTTCCATTCTTGCTCCTCTGCGATCCACCGTGCATGTAGCTTCCCGGGGAACCTTCCAGACGGGACGTGAGGTCACCGCCTTGCTCAGACTTTCCAGGGCTTTCCTCCGCACGATAAGGCTTGAGTTCTCAGCACTGCCAGCAGGGCTGCGGGTGTGTGCCTGTCTGGTGTCCCCCTCCGGCTCTCCAGCCACGCTGGCGCTGCTCACGTTGTTCCTCTGGCACCCTTTGTCCTTTCCCGGCCCAAGGGCTTTGCAGCTGCTGTTCCCTCTGCCTGGCTGACTCTCCAACACCCGACACCCCGTTGTTGCACAGGTTATGCTGTCTCATGATTCAGGATTCTGATTAAATGCCACCTTCTCAGAGAGGTCTTCTTCAACCACCCTCACTAAAACAGGGTCTCTCCTGTCACTCTCAAACCCTTTTTTTTCCCTCATGGCATCAATAGTCATATGTGTATTTTAAAAATTTTTTGTCTGAGCTCCCCACTAAAATGTCAGTTTTATTCGCTGTTGTTTCTACCTGCGAATATACATGACTTCTTGTATGTAAAGATGGTCAAGAAATATTTGATTTTTTTTTTTTTTTTTTTGCGTAAAGGGGATCTTGTTATTTGTACCTTTTCCTATTCCGCTATCAACTTTAAAAAAGAAACAATATTGGGGTCCAGAGGCTGGGACTCCGCGCTTCCACTGCTGGAGGCTGGGTTCGATCCGTGGTCTGGAGATAAAAACCTGCAAGTGGCGAGGCGCGGCCAAAAAAAACAGTATAGAAGTTTATCTGGACACCTTTCTATACCAGAATATAAAGATCTAGCTCCTTCTTTTTAATGACTCCCTAGTTTTCCATTGCATGAAGGTAGCCTCATTTTTTAGTCTCTGATGGTGTGTTTTGCAATTAACGTGTCTTTTTACAAACTTGTTTTATTATTTCCTTAGGATATGTCTCTAGGCTGTATGGAAAAAAATGAATTTAGATTTTTGAAATGTGAATTTAATACCTATAAAGGAATTTAGAAGTCACCTGGTCCAATTTATTTTGACAACTGAAGAGAGTTTACACAGCTAAGCTACTGAAGACCTGCGTCTTGATTCCAGGTCTCCTAATTCTTAGACAACTTTATTATTTTACCTTTTCTGCATAGAATTACAATCCCCCTACAACTGATTTTTGTGCGTGGTGTGAGGTAGGAGTACATTTTCATGTTATTATTAACATTTTACTATGTGGTATGGGAGGCAGCTAAATACCGTAGAATGCATACAATAGCCAGCCCCTCACACTAGAGACTTTCTCCAGTGTTTTCCACCAGAAGAGTTTTAGTTCTTACCTTTAGGCCTATGGTCCATTTTGACTTAATTCTTATTATCTAGCGGGAAGTAAAAGTCAAGGTTCCTTTTTTTGTGTGTGTGCCTGAATATCCAAATAATATAGCACTATTTGTTGAAAAGACTATTCTTTCTCCCTTGAATTTCTTTGACACCTTCATTGAAAATCGACTATATATATGAAGGTTTATTTTTGAGTACCCTATTCTGTTCCATTGATCTTTATGTCTATCTTTACACCAATGTGACACTTTCTTGATTACTGTAGCTTTATAACAATTGTAAAATTGTTATAATAATTGTTAAAATTAGGTAATGTAAATTTGTTCTTTTTTTCCCCAGAACTGTTTTGGCTATTCTAGATCCTTTGCCCTTCCATTTAAACTTTAGACTCTGCTTGCCAATTCTGGTATCTTGGTTGGGATTGCATTGAATCTACAGTTTAATTTGGACATTGGGGAGACTATCTTAGCCTGATGCCATTGAATGCAGGAATATACTGCTATTCAATAACTCTTCTTCTTCTAAATTCTGGGCTCCTAAACCACTAGATAGGTAGTATATACCCTGGGAGAGAATGCAGTGATTAGAGGATGTGAATGGTTGGTCCTTTCTGAGAATAATTTTCCCCATCAAGTAATAAGCCAGCATTTTAGTTGCAACATCATTTTTTGGTTAGCTTGATTAATATGAGCCTGCCCAGAGCAATAGTTAGTGTCATTCACTCATGCTCTGTTAAATCAGATTCTGAGTTTACAATAATGAAATTTTATGTGATTTCTCCACTTTACTGCTGCCTTGGGGCAAGCATGCATTATCAGATCAAATCCCTCCGCCTTCTGGCCAGCTATTGTTGAAGAACAAAGACAGCTAGTATTCATGAAGACTTCCCAAGCACAGGTCATTTGTACTTATGCTGTGACTCCAAAGTCTTTGTCATAACCACCCTATGATGCCTTTGATAAGTCATTTGAAAAGCAGAATTGGCCATTTGCTAACTTCTCCACTTTTCATAGAGAATTGGATCAAGGTGTCCTGAGTTTAGTCAGTACATTTAAATTTCTATAGGGCTTTGCAGTTTTTACATATACTTTCATGTACGATCCATTTAATTCTTTTTCAAGTGGGAAATATGCTTTCATATGATTCATTTAATTCTATCTCTTCGTGCTTTGCCCCATCAAAATTCATCGTTGGTGATTTTTCCTGACCTCTTATTGGCAGGCTAAGTGAGTTTTGAAAAAAGAAGGTAGAAGAGAGATGCAATCCCTATTTTCCATATAGGCAGTTGCTGGTGTCTATCATCCCATAACTGGTTTAGAGAGACAGCCATGAACCTCTCTTCTTAGTGAAGAGAAGGAAGTTAACATTCCTTGAGAGCATTATTTGTTGCTTCTAAAATTTAGTGCATCTGTAAATGCCTTTTCATTTTTTGAATCAAATGGAGGGGAAGAGAATGGAAGGATGTGGTGTTAGGATACGTGTACAAAGAATCTTACTGGCAGCCCAGAAAGTGAGGAAAATTAAATTCTCCATTAAAATGTTTCGGAATTAAAATGAAGGAAATTAGCTCTTCAGTCCTAGGGGTGGATGGAAAACAGTAGCTGGGTTGTTGATAGAGGTTACCAATGCTGGACAGGGTATCCTTGCTTTCTACCGCAGAGGTGTGTTTATAGTTTCATTTTTTCGTTGATGTAAATGTATGTGAGCCTGGTAGGATGCTGGGAATTGGGGAGCCATGCAAGGATGAGTCAGAGATGGTCCTTGCCTTAATGGGGAAAAATATAACATTTTCAAGTGGAAGCATCATTCAGGTATCTCCAGCACTTAACTACAGTTTCTGATAGGTGCTTGATACATGCCGATTTCAACATGGTTTGTTGAAATCATTTGTGTCATAAGGATGGAACAGATAAAGCTCAAGCATGAATGCAGAGATGGAAGGAAAGGTTTTACAGGTAGAGAACAGCAAGGGCAAAGACACTGAGAGGAAAACACAAGCTTTGTATAGAAACATACAATGACTGTCTGGTTGCAGTGTGGAAGGCCACAAGGCAAGTCCACTTGGAATCACTGAGACACCTTATTAATTCAATTGATTTGAGAGTGTGTGTATATTTTTAACTCATGCCTAAATCATGCTGACTGAGATGGTGCTATTTCCCTTATATAGAGTAAGCCCAGTTATTGTGGAATTAGATGGAAGATGGGATGGTGGAGGGGTGGGGTTGGGGTGGAAAGAATATTGCAGGAAGAGGTGGGATGAATTGGGAGATTGGGATTGACATATATACACTAATATGTATAAAATGGATAGCTAATAAGAACCTGCTGTTAAAAAAAAAAAGTAACCCCCCCCCAAAAATAATTGCAGGAAGATAGAAGAAATGGAGAATAGAGGAAATTGATCAAAACTGTCTTTGTTCTTCAAAAGCAAGAATATGCCCAGGCAGGATATTTAAAGGGAAATGCCACAATTTAATATTTTTCATTCTTTAGAAAACTCTAATTTATAATTTAACAAAGTGGCGAAAACAAAAAATCCTCTCTCCTCCACCAAAAACCCTCCTCCTTTGGCTACTCCAGGAAACAGCAGTCACCATCACTTTGGGAACTGGTTAGAAATACTGACTCTCAACTTACCTCAACATAATAAAGGCCATATATGACAAACCCACAGCCAACATCGTTCTCAATGGTGAAAAACTGAAACCATTTCCTCTAAGATCAGGAACAAGAAAAAGTTGCCCACTCTCACCACTATTATTCAACATACTTCTGGAAGTTTTAGCCACAGCAATCAGAGAAGAAAAAGAAATGAATCCAAATCAGAAGAGAAGAAGTAAAGCTGTCACTGTTTGCAGATGACATGATACTATACATAGAGAATCCTAAAGATGCTACCAGAAAACTACTAGAGCTAATCAATGAATTTGGTAAAGTAGCAGGATACAAAATTAATGCACAGAAACCTCTTGCATTCCTATACACTAATGATGAAAAATCTGAAAGAGAAATTAAGGAAACTCTCCCATTTACCATTGCAACAAAAAGAATAAAATACCTGGGAATAAACCTACCAAAGGAGACAAAAGACATGTATGCAGAAAACTATAAGACACTGACGGAAGAAATTAAAGATGATACAAACAGATGTTCTTGGATTGGAAGAATCAACATTGTGAAAATGACTAAAGTACCCAAAGCAATCTACAGATTCAATGCAATCCCTATCAAACTACCAATGGCATTTTTCACAGAGCTAGAACAAAAAAATTTCACAATTTGTTTGGAAACACAAAAGACCCCAAATAGCCAAAGCAATTTTTTTTGTTTTTTTGCGGTACGCGGGCCTCTCACTGTTGTAGCCTCTCCCGTTGCGGAGCACAGGCTCCGGACGCGCGCAGGCTCAGCGGCCATGGCTCACAGGCCTAGCCGCTCCGCGGCATGTGGGATCCTCCTGGACCAGGGCACAAACCCATGTCCCCTGCATCAGCAGGCAGACTCTCAACCACTGCGCCACCAGGGAAGCCCAGCTAAAGCAATCTTGAGGAAGAAAAATGGAGCTGCAGGAATCAGGCTCCCAGACTTCAGACTATACTACAAAGCTACAGTAATCGAGACAGTATGGTACTGGTACGCAAACAGAAATATAGATCAGTGGAACAGGATAGAAAGCCCAGAGATAAACCCACACACATATGG